GTAGGAAGCACGCTGTGACTGTCCTGTGGCTACTCACAAGCTGCTGGTGGTGGGTGGTGATCAGGAGGCTGGATGGAGTTGACTTCATCCTGCTAGCCTGCTGTGGCAGGAGCACAGAGGAGGATGATTGGGGGCAGACCTTGGACACATCCAGGTCTTGGCTGCAGAAGGCTGCAGGCTTTCATGGAAGGGAGAGACTCTATGGGCCATGGTGGCTGTGCAGAGCGAGCAGCTCAACTCCCTGCTCCGGGGGTTGCAAGCACGTTTGGGGAGACAGTCAATGCACTTGATGGCTTAATGTGCCTTCATTCTCAGATGAGGTCTGAAGAGACAGCAGACCTGCTGGCTGAGAAGGCTCAGATTACGGAGGAGGAGGCCAAGCTCCTGGCTCAGAAAGCAGCTGAGGCTGAACAGGAGATGCAGCGAATCAAAGCCACGGCCATCCGGACGGAGGAGGAGAAGCGACTGATGGAACAGAAGGTGCTAGAGGCAGAGATGTTGGCACTGAAAATGGCGGAGGAGTCAGAGAGGAGGTCAGAGGGTACAACCTTGCAGCTGCCTCTGCTTTGCTTTCCAACCCCCTTCTGACTTAGCTGAAAGAGTGGCTCATGCCTTGAGTTAGTCCATCCAAGCATCTGCAGTGAGTGCTTGTCCTCCTGTGTGTATGCAACAGCAAATGGCCCCAAGGCTCAGCTGGTTTCTCTCTCCATCTTGCTGTTTGCCACAGCTGGGCTGTCCTCAAGTAGGAAAAGGTGCTGGTAAAGCGTTGATCTTTTCCTGGATTGGAGTTGGAGAGCCTTCTCTGAAGCCTTCTTTGAGAGAGATGCTGTGGTGAGAGCAGCAGCGAAAGAGGCCATCAGCTAACGGGGGAGAAGGTACCATGGTCCTTGGCACTCTGCCTTCTGTGCCTCTCACGCCCTGACAGCAGCAGCAGAAGCCAGCTCTGCTTTTGGGTGACTGCAGCAAACACCCGCTGCATTTTCCAAAGTGTTTGGCAACATTAATAACGCTTCTGGGTTTTTTTTCTTCTGGACGGTAGATCTACATTCCCTGATCTCTCTTTACTCCTCTATTTGCCTCTCAGTTGTTTAGTTCTCCTTACCAGTCGTGAGGTCTGTTTCAGGTTAGACTTGAGATCTCCCTAGCTCCTGGCGTCCTTGCTTCTTGTTAAGACTGGTGTTTTCATCCTCTTGATAGCAGAGCCCAGGTCCCATGGTGCGTTTGGTAGTGAGCAAGTAAAAGATCGTTCTTGTTTCCTTCCAACTGATTACTCCTTTCCATGTGGGAACTTGCTTGATGTCAGCCCTTCTGCTTGGACGAACGCTGCCCTTGTCTCTTCTTGCCTTGGTCTCTATCTTGTGAAGCCTCCGCTCAGGTTTCAGTCCAGCAGAGAAGGCTTCCCTCCTTGGGCTTTCTCCTTCTGGGAGATCCTTGAGCCTCAAGGGTAAATACTAATTCTAGAAATTGTCGGGCCCTGTGAGTAGGCAAAGCTGTGCAATCTTGGGTGCTTTTTCCTCTTTGAATGTAGTAAATAATCGTTAGTAGAGACTTGTCACAAAGCTGCCTCTCCTGCTGTAAGTCTGAGCTTAATTTTTGAAGCTGTTCTCCCTGTCCTGGTGTTTCAGCATGCTTCTCCAGCCCTTGGCCTTGCTCGTTGATGCTCACGCACAGCCTGTCAGAGCTGCCCTTCTGTGGCTTGAATTTTTGTGCTAATTAAGATGTCCCACAAGTCAGAGGTTCTGGTGTTTTCCTTGCTCAAATGATTTCTTAGTTTTAGCCTTGTTGCGAGACAGATTTCAACCTATTCCGCATCTACACTGTAATGCTGCTTCTCCATCTTTTTTCCTCTTAACTTCAATCTGATATTTGCCACTTTCTGTTTTTCTTTGTAGGGCAAAGGAGGCTGATCAGCTAAAGCAAGACCTTCAGGAGGCTCGCGAGTCTGAGCGGAGAGCAAAGCAGAAGCTTTTGGAGATCACCAGCAAGTCGTCCTACACAGTAAGAGCAATCTGTATTCAGTCCCCACTTCCCAGCCATGAACGTGCCCTCCTCTGTAGCCTGGAGGAGTCTCTTATCTCCATCCCGTGGGTGGAGGGGTATGAGCTGTCTCCCTGCATTGCTTAGCAGCTGCTCAGAAACCCTCAGCAGTGCTTGGCCCTTTCCATCCAGGCACCCTGTCCAGCAGAAGATTGCTTTGCTATTTCATTTTTTTTTCCCCACCTACCTCACGCGACAAGAGCAAGGGAGCTGCTGGTAAAGTTAGAGGCAGCAAATTTTAAACCAATTTAACAGCCATGTCAGAGCCATGCTTTGCTAGCAAGTGTGGAGTGAACCAGCTCAGCAATAGCCTTTAAAACAGGGTTAAATACTGATGACACTGAAGATGTCCCAATTCTTGTTCACTGGGATAAACATTGTTCAGAACCTGTACATTCGTTCTTTGTGCATAAACTGGACACTGGGTCCCTCTGTGTGCTGGGAAAAAACTTCCTTGAAGGGACATTATTCCATAATTGCTCATTAAGAGGATTTCACACCTTCCACTGAAGCATCTGGTCCCGGTTCCTGCCGGGGACTGAAACGCCAGACTAAATGACCATTCCTCTGATCGTCTGGCAGTTCCTTTCCTCAACTTCTCTAATTGTGCTGCAGGGCCTGCAAAACCCATCAAGTGCTCCCCTCCCTGCAGCTCACACCTGCTCCGGCCGCCGCTTTGGCTGCCTCACTGTCCTGAGGGGTGAAGCAGGGAGAGCTCTACAGCCTCAGGAACAGACTCCACAGACGTACGTGGGAGTTATCCACTTGCCTAGTATGGAAGTTTTAATTTGTACCTGCAGGCTCCTTTCCCCCCTCTGGAAACTTTTGAGGAGCAGATTGAAGAGAGCTTGAGATGAAGCAACTTTTCATCCCGATTTTCCAAAGCTTCCTACAAAAAAACTTTTAAAAATGGCAATGATGGAAAATCATCAGGTGCTCTTGGCCATAGGATGCTCAGCCAAGTGCTAGCTACCTCATTGCCTGATAAAACTGAGCTTGGGAATGCTCTTATTTTACAATCAGTATTTCTCTGTGATCTACCAGTTCTTTAATTCTGGGTGGAGTGTCCTCATTGAAACTCTGCTGCACAGCTACATCAGTGTTGATGTTTGGGCAGCACTCACATGTCCACCTCCCCTCGTGTTGCTGTGTCCATCCTTAGCCCAACGGGCTAGCGAGCCCTTCTGCGCAAATCCCCAGCCGTGTGGCTGCGTTCCTGCCTGCGGAGGTAGAGCCTCATTAGCAGGAGCGTTGTAGGGTTGCATGGAGCTCAGCTCCACCCCTCCAGCTGCATCTGCCTGGAGGCAATCCACGCAGAACTGCAGACACATGGTGCTGCCTCCTCTCCCTTCCCTAAACAGCCTTGGCCTTCCTGACAAGGCTTCCTGGTGCCAGAGGGAAGGGGACATGCTTTTTTCTTGCCCAGTCAGGTGGCAGGGTCCCCTCTGCAGCTGCTGCTCCTCCTGCCCCTCCTGTAGCCCTAACAGGAGCACTGCATCGCACAGACTCGATGGCTGTTGCTTTCCAAGGTCAGGAGGATGCAAGTGTGACCATTGTGCCCGTATCCAGGTGACAACACCTTGATGGGCTCTTCCAACCCCTGTTTACGCCTGCCTCACTTCTTCCTTCCCCGGTGGCCTCTCTCATCGTTCTGCTGCGTGCGTGTTTGAGGGCAGACGATTGAGATGTGCTGAGATCCTGTTCCTGCACACCACTTCAAAGAGCTGGATCCAGGCGAGCCTGCCTTTGTCTGCCAGCACACGAATGGACCCAGCAGGCAGGCGCAGCCCAGGGGAGGCAGCAAGCCCAGGGAGGCCTCAGGGATGAAGCAGTTTTGAAAGCTGCTGGTGGGAGGCTTGTGTCCCTCAGGTGAATGGCAGCTCTGCCAAAAGACGCAGAAGTCCAGCTGTTCCCCTCATTAATGAGGATGTAACGCTGAGCTTGTTCTTTCCTGTGGTCCCAGTACTTGTGCTGTGTTGTCCCCTGGTACTGAGAGCTAGACAGGGCTTCCCTCTTGGGGAACAAGAGCAGGAGAGGAAGCGAGGAGTGGATGGATGTGTCACAGAAAAGGCAAGAAACCATTAAGAAATGGTTACTTTTTTCTGTAACTTTCCAGTCTCTCATCCTGGCTCTTTAAAGTTGTTTTATTTTGGTGTCTTTTTAGTCCTTGAAGCCCAAGCTGCTTTTGTGATGGGACTGGTAGGTGATGCATGAGAAAGAAGACGTGAATCTGAGTCTCAGGCCGTCAGGGCTGGGAGAACAATTCATTCTTTACTGACTTGGCAACAGCTCTTTGCCTCCTTCATTGCCCTTCAGGGTACCACTCGTGGCAAGACTAAAGGCAGTCATCTCTTCTCTGATCCTCTTGAAGTCGTAGGCGGGTGTCTCGGGCTTGCCCAAATTCTTGAGCAGCAAAGTAAAGACAGCAACAGGAGGAGCTCTCCCTGTGGGGGAAGCCTCCTGACATGACTTGCTCTGCGTTTCCTCCGTATCGCCTGTCTCGCTTGTTCGATGCTCCAGAGGGATGACCGCTGTCAGCGTGGTGCTTGCTTCTGTTAACGGCAGGAAATTGCTTTAATGCCGTACCAGGGTTATGCAGTTTGTTCCAGGTGAGGAAACACATAAGGGGAAATGTCTGTGTCTCCTTTATCATCCCGTGTCCCAGTGGCACCCTGTGTCCCCTGGATTAAAAATGTCTGCACCTTGTGCAGGACTCACCCGGGATTATTGCAAATGGCAGGGAAATGCTTTGCTCCGAATACTGTGCCTGTGCCTTTGAAAGCCCTCTTGCTTTCAGAAAGGGCTTTATTTGCTCTTTGCATGCTCTTTGCTCTTTCCTTGCTCTTCCTCACTGCTGCTGCTCTCTGACTTCACCGTTTTTTTTGCGGCTTCATGAAAGAGCCGTGCTGAGGAAAGGCAAAGAAGTGGTAACCCTGACAAATCAGTGTCTGGACTTAATGGTTGCAGCAACTGAAATTCCTGCTCAACTATTACTGCTGTTGGCTGGGGTTTTTTTAAAAACAAAACCCAACAAGCCTGTGCTGAAAAAAGTGTTGAAGGTTGTTTGAAGGCCAGCAGGCTGGTTCTGATGATCCTGGCTCCCCTGCACAGCAGAGATGCTAGCACCTCAGGTGGGAAGGGCTTTGCAAACACCTGTATACCTTACAGGGAAGGACTTGAATCTCAATGGGATGCAAGTATGTATATCAGTTAAGTGCTTTGGCAGACCTCTCCCCTTTCCTTCCAGACTGGAATGTAGGGGCTCGGCTGTCCCTTTCGGTGCCTGCTCCAGAATTAATATGACTGTGTTCTGCACTAGCAGCGATCGCAAAGGGGAGGAAGAAATTGTGTTTCCTTGTCGTGTGCACCTAACTTCCCTGTAACGCTCCAGCCAGACCAAGCGGCGCAGTTTTGGGACTTGTCTTGTTTATGCCTGTACTCAGGGTTTTTGTTCCAGCTTTGCCTCTGCAGCGTAAATGAAATGTCGTCCCTCTCAGGTCTGTCCAGCCAAAGAGCGAGCGGGGAACGAGCCCCGGCTGTTTGTGAATTCCGGGCTGGCAGTGAGGGAAGAGGCAGGTTATTGTGCAGAGTAAATCTGTCACCACCCCGGTGCTGGCGGCTCTTGTTGAAGCAGAGCTAGCTGCAAACAATCCCTGGAGTATCCCAAATAGAAGAAATGAGGGAAAGAAAGCAAGCACGAGCCAGCTGAAGCTCAAGATTTCATTTGTTGGGGCAGGTACCCTAGAACCCACCAGCTTTTGATGTGTGCTGCCAGAGCAGTCTGTCTGTGCAGCATGTCTCCAGCCATCCAAGAGAACTGGAGTTGTTTAACCTGGAGAAGAGAAGGCTGAGGGGAGACCTCATCACCACCTACAACTGCCTCAAGGGAGCTTGTAGAGAGGTGGGGGCTGGTCTCTTCTCCCAGGTGATGGGGGATAGAACAAGAGGAAACGGCACCAAGCTGTGCCAAGGGAGGTTCAGGTCAGAGATAAGGAGGAAGTTCTTTACCGAGAGGGTCGTCAGAAGCTGGCACAGGCTGCCCAGGGAGGTGGTGGAGTCACCATCCCTGGATGTGTTTAAAGAGCGGGTAGATGAGGTACGTAGGGATATGGTTTAGTGGGTAGACAGGAACGGTTGGACGTGATGATCTCAGAGGGCTTTTCCAGCCGAGCGATTCTGTGATTCTGTGTGTGATTCCCCCAGTCCAGGCTGGTTTGGGCACATTGTTTTCATTACAGGAATCCCTTACAGCAAGAAGGAGCATCTAGCAGAGAGGTGGGTGACTTTTTGGATGCCAGGGTGGATTTTTCATATCCGAAGTGAGGGCTGAGCACACTGGCAGCAGTTCTGACTCAGATCCACGCGCGCAGTCCACCAGCTGAAGCTGCTGTGCCATCCTTGACGTGTGTCACTGCTTGCGACCTCATCTAACGTCTTGCCAGAGCAGAGAGATGATTTGAGTCAGGATGCTTTCCCTGTCCTAGGAATGAGCCCATTTATTAGGGGTGTGACAGAATTTTAGGCTGAAAGAAGGGTCGTGTTTTAGGGGAAGATAAAAACTGAAGGCCAGGCAGTGTGTGTCGGTGGGGGATATCACGGCATTTTGCAGGGGGAAGAAAGTCCCAAATTCTTGTTCAGGTGTGATATGAGTGATTCCCTACGTTAACTCTGCATTTCCAACTGAATCTGGCAGTGGTTCCTCAAGGCTTGGAACTGTAAATTGCTGCAAAGAGAAAAACGTATTGGTGCACCTCCATGGACCTCACTGAAACTGCATCCCGAGTTAACCCTTGGGCTTCTGTTGTTCTTGGCTCACGCTGCGGGAGTGCCGGACTCCGCTGTCATACAGCATCTCAGGTTGCTCCTGTTCACAGCCTGCACTTTTTGCATTTGATTTAATGTTAAATACCTGCTAGATGTCTCCCAAGAGGCAGCTTCTGTCCAGCGTTGTTTGAAGTGGCATAGCAGTGATAAAACCTAGATTTTACAAAGTTTTATCAATAGGTTTTGAAAACAGAGGCTGTTTTGTCTCTTATTTACTACCACAAAGAGTGAGGTCCCGGAGGAGCCATAGCTCTGAACGGAAGAGCAGATTGGGAATGGAGAAAGGGGGTCTTCAGGCTGATCTTGTGCCTGTGACGCTGAGCTTGTTTGCTGCTCTGCTTCTGCCGTGCTTTGGAGTGCTTGCTGTCTTCTGTGTTTCCAAGATCACCAGCTGAAAAAGAGCCTTGTAATCTGCTTTGTGGAAAGTTTGAAGCTGGTTCAGAAAAATCGGGTTGTGAGTAGCGTTGCATCAGGAATAGAGGTGCCCCTTCCCTTTCCCCATGCAAGTGATGAGATCCTTCCAGTTCAGCACCACTGTGAAATGCAATGCACCTGACTCTACAAAGAGCATGCTGCTATCTGTAAAAGTAGCAGACCAGGACCTTATCACAGCATTAGTAAGCAGCACCTTGCACTGCATGTTTAGGCATTGCTCTGATTTTTACCTCTGTGCTGCAGAACATTTGCTGTAGGAACACTTGTGTGGCCAAAAGTGATTAATTTGTGCTCGTTCTCTTTAGCAGTCGATGAACTCGAGTACGACAGCATTGCCTACCGACCTGCCAAGCTTCAACCTCATCAGTGACAGCCTGTCCTTTGACTTCAAGGATACGGACATGAAGAGGCTTTCAATGGAAATCGAGAAAGAGAAGTACGTGTGTCCAGGGCCAGTGCTGGGGTTTGTGCCTCGCTTACGGTGGGAGGAACTGGCGCCAGGGCTGAAAGTGACACTTGTGTGTTCCAGGCGAGCACCGGTGTGAGGTGAAAAGGGGGAGGAGTCTTTTGGATTTACATTTACTGAAGCATGTTGTATCTACTCATTTCTCTGGGTGAGGACCTGGTGTCACAGGTGCATCTCTACTGCCTGCTTAAATGCAAATTTAACCACACTGAGCCCTGTGTCAGGCAGTTCCTCTCTTTATCTGGTTAATCCAGCTCTTGTTGGGGCTTGAATTGTTCATGTCGGTAGAAAGGGTTGCGCAGCGCCAGCTTGCAAGGGCTCAGGGCCCCAGCACGCAGGCTGCTGTTATTTGCAGTGTGGCCAGAGAATGTAGAGCTGGCTGGAGGTGCTAAGGTCTTGCGTTAGGGCTTTAACCCTTTTTTCTTGGAATCTGTGTCATTTTTATATATAAAAAGTGTGCGCAAGCAAGTTCGGATGTGATTATGAGCTTTGATCTTGTGTTTTCCTGAGGGTGTAAGTGTAGCCTTCAAAATTACAAATTTAGCAGAAATCAAAGCAGATCAGATTTTAATCTCTGTAGTAATAATGTACTTTGTTCATTGATTGGGTAGTAGATCAAAGCTAGAAGGGCTCTGCCGTAGCACTCCGGCCAAAACTTCCAGGGGCTGGAATAAAACACCCCTGGATCCCAGAGGGTGGTTTATTTTGCCTCTACTGAGTCCCCTCTCCTGTGTATGAAAAGCCAGACCACAGTGCTGGAGACAGAGGATAAAAACTTTTCCTAAAGCACAAAGGAAAAAAGATCGAAGCCGAAAATAACAGGATAATTCCTGGTTCTGTACCCAGGTTGCTAACTAGGTCATCCTACTCTCCTAAGCAGGAAAAGCTTGGCTCTGCCAAATGCTGAAAGCAATAGAGTGCTTTTGCTGCCTTCTCCGGGACTGTTCTCCTTTCTCGGGTGCTGAGATAAACCTTGCTACAAATTTTCCCACTCTGAAAGGGTTCTTGTTAGCCTGCTGGTGCTCTGACCTGGGTCTCGGTGTTTAATCACAAGTACAAGGCTGCCATGGTGTGATTTTTCTTCGTCGTGGAAGGCAGTTATGGCCACATCCTGAGAATGGCTGGGCTTGGGGTTTTCTTTTTCTGGGAGACCTTTCTCTGTTCCAGGGGTAGTGTGTGTCTAAAAGATACCTGATATTTTGGGGGCAGTGCTTGCTCCCACGTGGTTTACAAGCTCTAAATCCCTCTCAAACATGAGAAGTCAGTGCATCAGGGTCCTTCCTTCCTGACAGGATTTGTGCCTTTGAGTTTCTGAGCTGGGTGAGAGAGGGTGCAGTGGATTAGAGCAGCACTGCTTAAACTGCTGTTTTATAGGCTGAAACAGTGTAATCCTAACCTATGTCAGGGTGCAGCTTCACTCAGAAATGGGGAGACTTGAGATACAGTCAAGAAGCTCTGGTTTGGCTTTATTTTTTTTATAGTAACATAACTTACAGCTTTGTTCTGGGGTCAGCTGGCTGGGTCCTCTTTTTAATCACAAACAGATCATTGCTCAGAGTCATTTACTGTGTGCTGTAAACTGATGTCAGTTCCACACACTAGAAATGATGAAGATAAGCTAGTTCTGTTATAATTCTGTTTTATATATATATAAACACTAAAAAACCCATACGGTGCCACAGTATCAAGTCACCACGTGCAGCTGACCAGTACTAACCCAGGGCTTCTGTGTGTGCTAGGGTAGAATACATGGAGAAGAGCAAGCACCTGCAGGAGCAGCTGAACGAGCTGAAGACAGAAATTGAGGCACTGAAGCTGAAGGAGAGAGAGACGGCTCTGGATATATTGCACAACGAGAATGCCAGCCGAGGCAACAGCAAGCACAACACTATTAAAAAGGTATCGGAGGGCTCCAGTTTGTATCTCGCCTGACGAAATCCTTTAGAAACAACCACAGAATAACCCTTCCGTTTGGTTCAGCTTTTGCACAAGTTGTTATAATAAAATTGTTTGATCTAGGCTTTCTTCCCCGCCTGCGTAGCTTTGAACCAGGGTGCAGAGAACTTCAGCTTCTGGTGGCTTCTGGTTCATATTTGCCTCAACCAAGCCTGGTCTCTTCAGTGCTGTGTGAAGGGATGCAAAGGTCTTCAGGTTTGAGGGTCTTGCTGGACCTCAACAAAACCCGTATGGAGATGCTGTCAGAAGGTATCCACTTACCTTAGTGACCCCAGGGACAGGAAAAACCCTGCCTGCTTACTGCAACTGCTCCCTACAGGCATTGCAAGGAATCAGCCTTGAGCTTGGCTGGTGAACAGTAAGGGCAAAAATACTCCTGACCTCTGGGCTCTCAGCAGAAAAAGCCAAAAGCTGCGTCCTCTCTTTTAATCTGTTCTCGAGTAACCTGTAGTGCAGCTTCAAATACTAACAGCAAAATCTTTTGCTAGCAGGGTATGTATGAGGTGTCTGCTCTCTGTGCTGTGCACCCTGGAACCACCTGCCTCTAGAAATGCAGTTGAGATTAAGAATTTAGGATGGCTGGGGCTGCTGGCCTGGGTTAACACCTGAAAGGTCACAACAAACCTCATTCTTTATTTTTACATCCCGTCCTTTTCCTTTTGCTTAGTAGCTCTGCTCTTCTCCCAGCTGGGCTGGGAGTAATGAGAGTCTGGGGGCACATCTGTAATTGGCACGGTGGTGCGTAGTGGTGAGCTCCAACCACCTGCGAAGGCTTTAACCTGGGCTTTCTGTCCTTGAGAAAGATTTGGAAATATGCATAGCATGGGATGCAGGTTGTGGTAACAACTTGAGGGTTTTAAAAACAAATCTTCATCTCTTTACTACTCCCGGCTGGGAGTTATGTCTGGAAGGATTTGAAAATACCAGTTTATACCGACTTCCATGGCTGGGAGTTTATAATCACGGAATTAGGGCAGGAAAATTAATCTAGTGGGTCTGACTTCCTGGTTTCCGTGTGCTAGCCCCAAGCGAGCCGGGTTCCTGTCCCTCCGGAGCAGAGAATATAAAAATCTTCACAGACCCTTTTGTCATTGTAGGATGTAAAGACATTTCTGCTCCCAGTAGGTTTTGTTAGGTTTCGTCTCCGTGCTCAGAGTCCTCAGTTTAAATGGGAGATGCTAAATTTTCACTTCTGACAGTAGCTTTTGAGGCGAGTTCATAGAGAGCTGATGGTCCCATTTGTCTCACTTAAAGAAGGTGGCTGGGCAATCATTTTGATGTCTGTCAGGGCTCATCGCTGTAATTGGGACTGTGCGGTCAGTCTGCGTTCCTTTGAAGCCAGAGTCTTGTCCTGTCCCCTCCCTTCAGGAGGGGATCGAAGCTGCCTGGCTCCTGCATCTCAGCCAAAGGAGCAAAGGTTTTGAAATAATAGTCTGGTAGTGGAGCACATCAGAATAAAATTACAGACTGCTTTTGTTCGTCCCACCAGGAGGTCAGGAGGGCTTTTGTCTTCGCAGTTGTGACGGAAAGGAAAATGCAAGGCGCTGGAAATGGGATAGCGGTTTAGCAACGCCTAAATAATGCCAACCCTCTGCCCCACCTGGAAGCTGCTGATCACTTCAGTGCTCCGGGCAAGCTGTACAGATTGCACAAATGACCTGACATTACTCGTATCACAGAGGATTATTTTTGTTGTTGTTCATTTTATTTTGCTGGTTTAGCCTCAAGCCCAGGGCAGAAGACCTATCTGCATTTGAGACTTCCAAGTAGGTTATTCCAAGGTACTCTGCGTGGGGCGATGGGATCACCAGCTCTCATACTAACCCATGCATGAGCTTGCCTGTGCTGCGCATCGCTCTAGCCGGCTTCCGTCGCTGCCAGCCCTACCACGCTCCTTACTGCACCGCAGCGGGGTGCAGTGCTGGGGAAGGCAGACTCGCCACGGCGCACGGCCCTGCCCTTCCCCGTGCTGAACCCATGCAGCATGTTGCAGGCAGCTGCCCTGCCCGGCTCCCACTGCTTTGGTGGCGTTCACAGCCTCTCTGCATTCGTTCTGTGCACCTCATCCTCCACGCTGGGAAGCGTCTTTCTTGGCAGAAGTTGAGTTGGCAACATCAGTGGGGGAGTGCAAGCGTAGAGGCTTAAATAATTAAACACGCCTGTTTTTGCTCTGCTGCTGGTGGCTGGGAGTCTATTGGAGGTGCAGGGTGGCCTTTGAAGATTTCTTTAATGAAGTAAACCAGGTCCTTCCCCCTTGTTTGCTGCAGAAAGAAATTCAGGATTTAAAAAAAAAACCCAACAAAACAAACCAACAAGCTACCAAACAAACCTCATCAGCTCTCTGCTGCCAAAACTGTCTAACAGGCTAAAAATGCACCCCTCCGTCTTGGAGCGGAGCAGCACGTGGATGCGTTATCAGCGTCTGCCTGTTTGAGAGGCCTCGCAGGAAGGGAAGGCAGACGGCTGAGGACAGCCGGTGTTGCAGGTAGCTCTTGGGCAAGGCTGCAGCCAGGGGTGGTTCAGGGAGACTGCGCCCGAGGTAGCGCTGTTGGTCACCGCTGTGCCTGGGGACGCTGGCTGTCAGAGCCTCTCTCCCTCCTGCCTCCTTCGGCATCGCCGGTGACTCCTCTGTTAGCGCCACGTCTCGTCTTACCAGAGCCTGCTTTCCTCTAAGGATTTGCTCTCAATCCACAGGCTGTGTGTGGGCAGAGCCTCGACTTCCTCCTTCGGGAGGATGAGTTTGGGGAAGTTTTTCTGCTCTTTCCTCGGCCGTGGTTCTTGCACACCCACGGGGTTTAGCGAGTTTCGAGTGGTAGTGCGAAGGGAGGAGGTGGCACGGATGCTGTGGTAGCAGCGCTTACGAAGGTGGGTGACAAACCTGGTGGTAAACGCCTTTGGAAAAGGCTCTGGTTAAAAGTTACCCTGAAGGCTGGCACAGCCCTGCCTGCATGGCAGGCACGTACAGCTGACCGCGGAGCAATTTCTCAGCACCTCTGGAGCTCCACAGCGGAGGCAGGAGGATGCTTTAGATGCAGACTTCTCCCTGGCCAGTACCCAGAAGTGATTAGCGCAGGTCTGTGCTGTTCTTGAATGGAAGGGCCCTTTCAGGGCTGCAGGCAGCATTGCAAATCGCTCCAGTTTGGGGTTTTGTGGTGGCTGGCTGCTGCCAGCTGCTCCTGGGGAGGGCTGCAGGTGTTCCCAAGATGGGCTGATCTCCTTGCTAAGTATTTCCTTGGGAAAGAGGCTAAAATGAGGGATGACCCTGCAGGTCTGGGCTGCCTTGGGCGAGGCATTGGATGTCTCTAGGGCAGGCTGGCCATGGTTGAAACCCGCCGTCCCAAGGAACTCTCTGGCAGGTGAAACTGGGGCAAAATCCACTTGTGGTCACAGCATTAGGGTGAGGAGGTGAAATGAAACCCTGGCAGTTTGTGAAAAGACTAATCCAGCAGCTGGGAGAGATCCGGTGCCTGGGAGGAGCCCCCATAATTAAAGCAGATGCACAGCAAGTGCTGTGGTGTGACCTCTGGGTTTTGTTGCCTGCCTTTGAAGACGCCTGCTAAGTTTTCCATGTTTAATTACGTGGTTAACATGTTAATCCTTCTTTATGAGCTCTGTGGGCACAGCACAAGCTCCTCATCTGGAAACCGATTTCCCTTCTCCGTTGCACTCTCTGCCGTGGGCTGGCACTGCTGACTCCAGCTGGCTCAGCTTCGGCAGGGTTTGCCGCTAGGGCTGCAGGAGAAGATGAAAAAACCCACTTCCTCGCATCCTCCAGTGTAGGAAGGCTCCCAGGACAGGCTGCTGCTCGAAATGACAAGCGGATCTTTTATTCCCGTTGCTTTCTTCTTGCACAGTCATGCTTATTTACTGTGATTTAAGCCCTTTGAAGTAGCCAGGCAAGGAGCAAATCTCCATGCCTGTTTCCAGACAAGCAGCTTTGTCCTTGAGCAGTGCTCTGGTCCTTCCACAGACGAGCTTGGCCTTTCCCTGCCAGGCTTTCAGGCAGCTTTCGGCTTTTTCTTGGACGCAGCGTTCCTCTGGGGCTCGAGGAACTTTGAATCCTCACTTTTGGTGGCAGTGGGGACTGTGCAGACGTTGGTGGTGGGGTGAGCTGTTGCTGACGGTGCTCTTGCCGGCTCTTCTCCTGCCTGATCTTGGTTGTGGTGCAGCGTTGCCCTCAACTCAGGTAATGCAGGACTTTTTCTGGTTTTGAGGTGCTTGGGGTCTGGGTAGGCTACTGCAAATCTGCTTATTTATCACCAGTAGAGTAATTGGGGCTTCTTCTATCGCTGGTCATCACAGAATCACAGAATCGCTCGGTTGGAAAAGCAGCAACTTTTCTGAGATCATCACGTCCAACCGTTCCTGTCTACCCCCTAAACCATATCCTTAAGTACCTCATCTACCCGCTCTTTAAACACATCCAGGGATGGTGACTCCACCACCTCCCTGGGCAGCCTGGTCCAGCTTCTGACGACCCTCTCAGTAAAGAACTTCCTCCTTATCTCTAACCTGAACCTCCCTTGGCACAGCTTGGTGCCGTTTCCCCTTGTTCTATCCCCCATCACCTGGGAGAAGAGACCAGCACCCACCTCTCCACAACCTCCCTTGAGGCAGTTGTAGGTGGTGATGAGGTCTCCCCTCAGCCTTCTCTTCTCAGGCTAAACAATCATGTTCTACCATGTCCTACAGATGCAGCATCGTCCCCTTTGTGCGTAGGCCACGGGCAGCTCCTGGCTGCCAAGTGCAGAGGGATGAGCGAGGCAGAGCAAAGTGGACTTCTGCAGGCTTGTCTTCTCTCCTCTGACCTTCACGGTGCCTGTCCTCTACAGCAGTGTGAGGACACCGGTGAGTTAGGTGGATGGGCACTGCCATCCAAGAGTCTCGTGATTCAGGTGTGAAGCTGCTGTGCCACCACCGAATGTCATGAGTCTGTTTAATCATCTGGACAGGCTGAAGGTTTCTGGGAGGCTGGCCCTGGTGCAGACAGCTGTGCCTGTTTTCCAGCTGTGCTGGCTGTAGGCATCACTGAAACGTGTCCCTTGAGGACTTCAACAAGTCGT